TCCATACCAGGCAACATCCTGGTAAATCTCCTCTGCACCCTTTCCAATGCTTCCACATCCTTCCTATAATGCGGTGACCAGAACTGTACGCAATACTCCAAGTGCGGCCGCTACAGAGTTTTGTACATTCTTCCATTTTAAGTCTTGGAACAATATTTGGTAATTGATGCTACCATCATCTTTGCAGAGAACAGGCACGGAGGTGGGAACCTTCTAATTTGTGCAGTTTGATAACACTGCTTGCAGGGCAAATACCCACTGCTATCATGCAGGAAATGACATTTAAGATATTAAAACTTTAAATACCTTAGTAAATATGCACTGATTCTAATAATCATTCACCATGTTGCAAATACATTTAAGAATGTAGTATTGTCTTGAAGTTACTGGATTAATAAGGGATAAAGCATGAATTCAAATCTTGCCACGCTAATCTGTGCACTTAATTCCAATAATAATGGAAATAGAAATAACTTGTATTTAAGTAGTGCTTTTCATGACAAGACATTCTGAAACTTTTCAGCATTTTGATTATCACTTTGAAATGCAACATCCATTTTTAATACAACAAATACAGCAACCACTTTGCATGCACCTTGGGATCTTTTGCATTCACTTAAGTGGAAAGACACTCTATTTAATGTTCCATTCATAGATAACTTTCTCAGTCCAGTTCTCCAGCGATACTGTAATACACAAGTGTTAGCCTGAACCCAAGTCCTCTGTGGAATGCTTGAACCATGAACTACTTGACTCGGGCAAATGTGGTGTCATTGAGCTAAAGCAAGGTTTCATTAAAAGTAACAGCCAAATAATTGTGCAAAGTTAAAATCAGTCACTCGGAAGAAAAACTATTTGCATGGACCGAAACGATGAGAGATATTTAGTATTAATGGTACTGCAAAGGAATGTGACAATACTGCTGGACTAAAGGTTACTATGGTGATACTCTTAAATAGCTGAAGTCATCTATGGTGAGCTTCCATATCCTTCAACTAGCAGTTAAAAATAGGAGTTACAGGATCTGTTGCTGAGAGCTGTACTAGTATCTGTGACATGCGATGACAGCACATTTATTACTCATTGGATTCTAGGTATGGAATGGCTGATGGAAATAAGCAATGAAAAGGAATTCACCAAATAAATTAAGGGAATTTGTTCTGGTTGCATCCTCTGAAATAAGTTGAAAGATAGCAGAGGATTTTTTTCACAGTTGTATAATAATTCCTGTGAGATTTGAAGTAGTTGTTTGCTTGGGAGAGGATATTACAGGTAACTGCAGGTGAATTGCAGTACTGTGACAGTGTAATGCAGCACATACAGTACTGCAGTAGAGTGTCAAAGATTCTGTTCTGATTCTAAATGGAGACAGTACGGGACTAAGGAAGTAATGAACTGTGCTAAGGCTATAGTTAGCAGTGTTCACTGCTGTTTTGAATACCCTTAATAGAAAAATTTGCAGACCACACCAAATTGGTGGTGTAATTAATATTGAGGCCTACTGATAAAGTACACAGATGTTAAACTTGCAGAGTGGGTACAATCACAAATTAACTTAATAGGTAAATGTGACCTGGTATATTTTGATAGTATAAGGAGGTCCTCGAGTCATTTTGAAAATAAGTTGAGATTGAACCTCTGTTGTTACTACTTTAATCCTCCAGAAGCATTTGTAACTGTGGCAGTGCTGAACAAGTTTGATGTGACTCTTTAGCTGTGTGATTTGTTATTTCTGTCTGTAACATACTGCTCACCCGTTTTGCATTCATGCAGTTTGGTTATGGTTTTAGATTTGAGTACCATAGCGTTGCTGTGGGAATGAATTCTAATATGCTTTGGTTTGCTGACCCAAAGTTGGTCTTGTGATTAGATGGTCATTCCTAAAGGAGTAACAAGAAGTCAACTTTTCACATTGCACTCATCAAGAGCTTGCGCACAAGAACAGATGTCAAAGGGACACCAACTCATACAAAATGAGAAGAGGGTACTAGTTGGATGCCTGTCATTGGTATGGGGGAAGTAGCAGGAACAATTAACTGTCGATCTTAGTTATGAAACAGGTAAGTAGACTCCAGTTGATCAGGGTGATGCCAAGGGAATGCTGCATTGACGGGCTCCTTGATACCTTTCTCCCAGTGGCTTTAAAAAAGGGCACAATATAAAAACAAATTTCATTTGCCTATATAAAACAGGATTGATTTGTTAATATATTGAGTTTATAGCATGTATGAATAAGGTGGATAGATTCTCTTAAATTGGTTTTCAGTGTAATCTTTGGCAAAGTTCAGATTATTAATGTTCAGAATCATTGTCTAATGTTTTAGATAGTGTTCAGTACATTTTGATAACTGGCATACAGTATGAAAAATTATTTTGACTATTCAGTGTGCAGTAAGTTGTTTGTCTTTAGCCAGCCAGTACTTGCAAGCTTCAGAAAATTCTGACTAATGTAGGGTTTCATTGTCACCACTAATTGCTACTTTTTTATTCCAGACTTAACAGTTTAAATTTGCAACCTGCTACAGTGGGATTTGATCTTGTAATTCAGGATAGTTAGTGCAGCATAACAATTGTACTTTATCTAACAGCGAGTAAATTGATGGCCCCATAGAAAGCATGTGACACATTAAGCAAACCTCAAGCTGTTCTGAACATTTTAACATTCTGTCTCTTTACCTTGCAACTGATTCCTTTTTCCCCTCTAGTGGAGGCCTCAGTAACCTTTTGTATCTCTGTGCACTGCCGGACCATGTGCTAAGTGTTGGGGATGAACCTCGCCAGGTTCTACTGCGTGTTTATGGAGCCATCTTGCAGGTGAGCGCTATTAATCCAAGAAAGATGCCAACTACTGTGCAGTTTTAAAGTTGATGTTGCTGGGTATGTTTTCCATCCCATAGGTCATACATTTCACTTCCAGAATCTGCCAACATGCTGCAGGTTTGCGAGTCTTGTTCTATAAGTGATGCAGGGCAGCATTTACAGCCAGATGTTCCCTGTTCTGGGCTTTCATTCCTTTCTAAGCATTAAAAAGGCAGGGACATCCAGGTCATTGCATGTATATTGCTCTACTTCAAGCCCAGGAGCCACTACTCAGTGGCTGTAAAAGGGAGCCTAAGACCCTGTAGGGTACTTCAGGGTGGTGGAGAGTGTGAAAAGCTGGTTCCACAAGTGATTGGAGGCAGCTGAAGGCAGATACATTAGTTCTGAAAATGGTAGCTGGGGAATGAAACCCCTGGAAATAGTATCGAGGGGAAATGAGAATGATCAGAGTTCAGAGAAAAGCAACCAAGATACCACCAAATGTAACATGAACTGGGAGGAGAGGAGAAACCAGCTGGAGACCACTACTAATTGATGAGTAAGTGTTAAGGTATTCCACATTGGAGTCTTGATGAAGAATAAAATTCCTCTGGAGCAAGATCCAAGGCTTAGTTAGACTTTCGTGACTCTTGGTATTACTTGCTTCTGAGTGACTTGCTATCATATCTATGGGAATTTTTTTGGAAGTATCTTCCACTTGCTATGCATTATACAGATCTGCACAGTTTGGTTATTTTTTGTTTGTATCCTGCTGAATTTGATTATTAGTACACAAGATAGATAATACTTGTTGGTTCATGTTTCTCTGGCAGGCTTTCTCTGTTTGGAGAAATATTGTACGCTACTTTACTTTGATTTGGCTTTATCCTATTACTAATCTATTAAGATTTGGGATTCCCAAACTTCATCTACTTTGCTGGTCCCTAACTGGGCTATAACCAAAGTCAGGGGTCTGGTCTGGGATTGTAACACTGAATTTTCACACTTCTAGTATTTGCAGTTTGTGTTGTAAATTTATTTTAGGCTAAATTTTAAACACTTGGAAGTGAATGGCAGCCTGTTAATGTAGCAGAATTGAACTTTTTGAGCTTTTTCCCCTCTGACAGTTGAGGATTATTTCTGATGACTGACTTACAAGCCTCTCAAAATATGAATACCAGCAATGACACGTGATTGCAGTGGAAATCTTCAATTTGCTAGCAATAAGGACCTCACTTGAATTGCCAGTTCACTGTGCTCAGCTTGTGGCTTATAGAATTGGAGGCTATTCAGAACAGACTCTGATATTGAATTAGTCCCACTCCCCACTTTTAACAGGATATTTGTGCTTTGTGACTTATTACTAGAGAACAACGTTTATCTCAAGTTGGGATATCTTAGGATTCTTTTTCTGTTGCCAAGTTATTTGTCACTTTTGTAAACAGAATTAATACCTCCTAGTGTCCAGAGCATCTCTACCTTCTCACCCCAGTCCCACCCCCACCACTCCCTCCCATTTTACAGTTCTGCTTCTGTTGAAATAACAGCACAGGCTGGAGATCAGTTTTTTAAAAAAACTGTACATATGACTGGGCTATCACATTCTGTTGAGACAAAACACAACAAACCAGTACTGTTTTATGTTAAACATGTGGCAAAACACCATAGCTTTGTGTGACCAGCTTTCTATAGCCCTTTAGTTACTTTTATTACCACCAGAAACCTTAAATCCTCCCTGACGACAAGTCCAAGAAACCTGTAGTGTTCTTTTATCAGCAAAAGAGGTCATTTGCTCAGTTACTTCTCTTCCACAACTGCCCCTCCCTTATTTAAAACAATAAATACTTTCATATGCTTTGTGTGAAAATAGTAACTCCACAGCTAACCATTGCTGTTTCTGTCTTGTGTATATTTTGTTTACTCGACATTCCTTTAATCTGCTGAGCCGTCAATGTGTGTGATTTCAATGTGGGGAGGAAAGACACATCATATTGAAAATTCACTGTGGGCATTGGAGAATTTTTTTAACAAAGCTTCCTGACTGGCACATCTGATAACCAGTGATAATTCCTTGCTTTGCTGACAACCCCTGTTTGTTTCTAAACAGTGGGGAAGATTCTAGTTTTTAAAATCTGGTTCTGGTAGGATAGTATGTGAAGAAGAAATTGTTCAGTTGGTCATCTGTTTCTGAAATGAAGAAAACCTCGAGTTTAGAGTGAAACTTGGTTTCTTTACCTTTTTTAGAAGAATGCCTATAGGAACATCCTAGGATTGTATTTCCTGAGAAAACTCTGCAACACTTCAGAGAATTGTATGCTTCATGACTTCACCACAAATACTAGACATTAGAGCAACAGCCTTTGGAACATTTTGTGCTTTATCCTTTTGCCTTCAAGAATAATTCTTTTTTCATAAAGCCAATCTCTGCAATGATATTTTCTCTTTTCATGAGAAGTGAATATGTTCGCTTGTATTTTGTAGATACTCAGAAGGATAAGCATTTACACTTCTAAATAACTGTTAACCAGTTATTGCATATTTGTTGAGTAAGTTCTGATTTCACAAACAAAATTATTTCTTGGGAAGCCTGGCTGGTAGAACTTGTTTATAACCTAATATAGATAATGTTTTCGATTGATCATCTTAGTAATTGGAAAATGTGTTGTTTTTTTTGTGGTGACCTGTGGGGTAGTGAGATGAGAATGACAGTGCAATTGAGTTCCTTGCTTGAGCATTATTGCTTATCCCTTTTAAAAGCTGTGGATACTTGTTTGAATGCAGGTTCTAGTCACCATAATGTCAAGTAGCTGATCAAAGTGACTATTAATGTTGATGTGCTATACCAAAAAGCCCTTTTCACATGATATACAAACAATATATATTGCTAGGTAGTCAGTGACCAGTGAGTGAAAGCACTGCCTGTTTCTTCTCATTTGAGTCCAGGATTCCAGAAACTGAATGTAATGTCCAACTGTATGCTCAGATCAGATATGGCTAGTGTGAGCTTTTATCCAGAGTGAATGTGTATCTGCTTTGGAAAAGCACTTGGAATAACCAGAAAAATCTGGTACTGGTTTTTGTTATTGTTGTGAACATTAACCTGATTTGTTCGTTCTTTGCAGGGTGTGGACTCTCTGATATTGGAAAGTGTGATGTTTGCTGTTTTGGCAGAACGTGCCTTGGGACCAAGATTATATGGAGTATTTCCACAGGGGCGCCTGGAGCAGTACATTCCAGTATGAACTTTACTTTTCTTATATGTCACATTGGGCTGAATCTCTTATGGCTTTGAAACCAGCTCTCAACCATGTGTATGAATTCTGTATGCATTAAGCTCATTTAGGAATACCTCTATTAGAGGCTTTCACCATCTAAATGATGTAATTAGACTTGTTGAAGACGCGTGCCATTGGGATTGGAGAATGTTGTTGACATACTAAGTCATTTATATATGGAGTTTATTTTATAATGGTTTCCTTTTGAAGCTTGCCCATTTTCTTTCTTGCATCTCTCCTACGACCGGTTTTCTCCCTTTGTCAGTTTCAGCACACCACACCATGCTCCACTGCCAGTGGAACTAGTTGTCTTCCCTCTTTCCACTCTTGATGCTGGTCAGTGCCCAGTGGGAGAATAAACTTAGCCCACTCTGTCCAATGTGCACTTTGAAGCACACTGAGATAGAAAGGTCTGCTGCAGGTTAGTTTAATCTACTATCCGTAACTATGCATGGTTTCCTGTCTCTATCAAATATTTTTGGAAAGTAAGGCCAATGTATGTGGTGATATACTTGATCTTCAAGATGTTGACTATGCATCCAGATTAATTTTGCACAACTAGTGTCTCTTTGTTAGAGGCACTACTGTCCCACTCTGACTGAGATTTCTCCTACATTTAATATGTGGCAGCATAGTTATTTGATTACTTTTTCTCTCTTTCATCTAAGTCCCTGCCACCCTACTATCCCATTTTCTGATCTTGCCCTGAAGGAGCTATTACTGAGCCACAAATCAACTAACCACAGTACCACCTAATATTGTGATCAAGTGTATCAGATTAATGACCAACTGGTAACTTCGCTGTGAAGGGAAAAATCTTCTGTCAAACCCATTGCTACCTTTAACTGTCATCCACGCCTGTGCGCTATTCACTTATTGGATAGTGATTTGAAATGGGAGTATGACAGGTGCCCTGTAGCTACCTTAGCCCAGATGTAGAAACCAATTGAGCATCAATTTACGATACAGTAATGTGGCCAGGCTGATGTGTTATTTGATGACTTACCCAGCTAACTGCTGTTACACTTGGAAAAATTTGCAAAGACTCTCAAAGGCACCAGGAATCCTTGGCTTTAGCTAGTTTAGTGGAAGTGTTGAGATTAGGGTTTTAGAATCAAATTAAAATTATCTATTTCTTTTGTACAAATGCAAGGGTTTTCTCTGCTAAATTGAACTGTAAGATATCATCAGCTGAACTTGTGCATCATGGAACAATGGTAACCAGGATTACGCTGAATCTGGTGACGAGATCAGCTCCCAAAGTCTGTTGCTAATGGCAGTCTGACAGAACTTGAAGTCAGAATTTGCCTTGCTATCCCTCTTTCACGCCAACTGCCACAGCTGTTGACCTAATGCCAGCCCAAATTGATACACATCCCAGGGAATGTTAGTGTAGGAACGAGGAGGAGAGCTCCTGCAAGGACATGTTAAAAGGCTGCAAATGTTTAACTAGCATCTTCCTCCAAATGTGTCTGACCAGAGCCGTCGGCTGCTGACTGAAGAGTTGGCATTTCCGGATTTTTCAGCAGAGATTGCTGTGAAGATGTCTCGATTCCATGGAATGGTCATGCCGTTCAACAAAGAACCAAAGTGGCTGTTTGAAACGATGGACAGGTAATGTAGAGAGAATCTGAGGTGGGGGTAGAACAGATTTGGGTTTAGGCTGTTGAATCCTCCAAAGGAGTATAACTCCTCCATCGCAGGAGGTTAAGCTATGCACTTAGTGCTTCTCATGTGGACACTAGCTTGGCTATCCTATCTGGTTAGATTAATCCAGGGTGATCTTTTTAAATGTAGTCATGTGGTGTTATGACTCTGTAGATCTACCTTCCATCTTTCCTATTTAATGGAAGTGTCACACTTATCTTTCCTGACCGTACACACTGCACTCAGCTCTTTTATTTAGAGACTGCAACCCTTTCAGTTGACCTTAAATGATCTCCTCAGGTGGTGTTTTGCCTGCATCCCAACATCCCACTTCCCTGCCTTTCCCTCCAAAAAAAACTCCAGGGTTTTACAGGTGTTTGTAAATCATGTCATTCTACTCCAGAAGTATAGTTGTATTCCTGTGAAGTTCTTTTTGTTACTACCTGAATTCACTACTTCATTTTCCACAAATACATCTCTAATCAAAGGGGTCCATCTCAAAGGGCATCCCAGATTAACTACTCTAGACTGGAGGGTTCTTGTGCAACACCCCTGCTTAAGGCAAGAATTCTGCCAGCACAGTCGCAACTATTTTCTACTGTTGAAATTCATATTAGAGCAGTACAGATTTGCAGCAAAATGTTGAACTGTAGCTATTTGCCTGCAAAGACCGCAAAAAGAAACTTGCTTGTCTGAAGGGAAATTTTTGACAGTGCTCATGAGGGGATAAGTTGTTCGTTTTCTCCATTAAGAACCATACCAATCATAATCAAAATCCCAGCAAAGAAGGGGAGGCCAAGAACTTTTGGGCACTGCCAAGGGCCAGGGTGCAACAACACCTTGGATAATGTTTTTTGATTTTGTTTTTGATAAATTTCCATTCTAGTTCTGTAAATTTGCTTTTTTCTTTCAGTGCCCCACCAGAATTGTCTAACTTAATTAATGTTTTGCTTAAGAGTAGAATGGGAGCCATACAGCCCAGTCAGGACTGGTACTTACCCTACACTAGGGTTCTTCTTGAGACCCATTTTACAGCGGTTACCCCAGTCCTTAATGTTCTCAAGTTTCTCTAATACCTTTCAGAAATTTCCAGTAGCGTAGTTCTTTATGGAATCGATCCCGTAATCCAGTTTGCATGTTACGGTCCTCCTTTTCTGTTTTTATTTCTTCCAGTACAAACTCAGTTTCTGCCCAGCACTTACCAGTAGAAATAGTAAGTGACTAGTCCCCACCCCTACCAAAACCATTCCTTTTTCATAAAAATTATTTTTCTTTAGTAACTTGGCACTTCCTTTCTCTTGGTCAGCTCTACTTTAGAAGTTACTTAGAACCTCATCCTCTCTGCCAAGTGAGGTGCAGTCAACTTTTATACAAATAAGTGCAAGTGATCACAACATTCAAATGGTATTGTCATAAGAATTTGACTTTTTTTTTGAGTGAATGTGTCTGGTTAAGTGGGACTCCAAGTGGTACACTAGTTGTTGTAAATTTGCTTATTTGAGTGCTGCAACTTCTACAGCACTTATAGGAGGTGAGTTTTATTTGGTGGAACATGATGAACATTGGACATCTTGTCAAAATGACATGAGCTATCCAATCGAACCTTGCCACAAAAATCTCCTCTTATTGGTTTTGAAATGCAGAGCTGAATTGCAACCCAATAGCATTTGCCCAGCCTATCCTCCCTTACTGTCAATCCTCAGCATGACAGCTGAGCTTTAAACTGATTCACACCCATTACGTGCAGCTTGATCTCCTGACTCTGACCCACTGACTTCCCTCCATTCACACTACCATGAAATAGTTACCTAAGTGGGAGACTACCCAAACAACAGTCTAACTCTTCACCTGCCTGCAGATTAAATGTTCTAGCTAAATACCCAACTTACCATTACTAATCGCTGTAGGAGTGTTTTTCCGGACCTGGGACAAGTCTCAGGAGGCAGGCAGGATTCAGGCAAGTGGAAGATATTTATTCAAGCAGAAACCGGCTTGTGCAGGGAGAGGCCCAAAGGATCTTTCTGAATCTGTCTTTGGAAGATAGCTCAATGACACACCCTCTGCTTTTACAAAGAAACATAGCATTTTTATACATTTTGTTATGGTAATCGAATGCAATGTAGTAATCACTTTCCCCTTAATTCAAGCACCCAATCCTGTGGGACACCTAATCAGTGATGGGCAGTTCTGTGGACAGCCCCAGGTTCCTATGATCTTATGGTTTTAGTCAGATGTTGTAATCTCTAGGCCTTGGGATCTTGCCGTGCATCCTATTCATTCACATTCCAAAAGTTTAATGGCTACACTCCTTCGGGTCTTTCTCAGGCTTGTTTATCTGTAAGGACGGTTCAAATTCTATTACCCATTGTGTTTTGGTGCTATCTTTTATCACATTCAGTTACTCCTTTTATTTTTCCACTGTCCCAATTACATAATGTGAAACAAAGTTTTTAACTAATTGCTATAAAGGTTAACTTCTGTTAAGGTTAATTGAGTGTAATGTTACACAACTACTTCTGTTAGCATTTTGTAACTTATGGATTGTGATCAATCTATCTTGTTCAGGGCACAAGAGAAGGTGTCTTCCAAGGCTAATTAATCTTTACATCTAAGCTTAAATGTTTTTGAAGGCTTGTAATATACACTGGTTATGTATTGAAACCAACTTCTATGACTAGAGCATTTTTAGCTAGAAACTATTTAATATTGCTGGTAGCTTCAAAGAAGCAACTATTTACTACAAATAACTTTAGCTGTTATCCTTGAAGTTGCTTGAGGACCGAATTTAGCACCTCCATAGAATCTCCACAGTGTGGAAAAAGGCCCTTCGGTCCAACAAGTCCACACTGATCCTCGGAGCATCCCACCCAGACCCATCCCCTGTAACCCCACCTAATCTGCACATCCCTGTACACTGGGCATTTAGCATGGTGAATTCACCTTGCCTGCACATCTTTGGACTGAGAGGAAACTGGAGCCCTCGGAGGAAACCCACGCAGGCAGGGGAAAATGTGTAAGCTCCACTCAGACAGTCGCCAGAGGGTGGAATCGAACCTGGGCCCCTGGCGCTGTGTGGCAGCTGTGCTGACAACTGAGCCACTGTGCTGTCCCTGATGTTATTCATTAACTGGGACAATCACCCTTTCATTAATAAAGCTGGAATTGGTCATTTATCTGTCCTAAGGCATCCTTTTATCAGAACTGTCTTGGATGGGAATGTACAGCGTTCCTTTACTGACCTTCTAGCAGTTCTGTTCAAAGGTGCCATTGTATTTCACTGTGAGTGGGCTGCTTAGTTTTGCTTAGCTTCTGTCTGCCAACTTGTAAGCAGGTATGGTCCGCTTAGTGTTCAGGTACAGGTTACCCCTACAATCACTGTTTGTTTCTCAACCTTTCCTTGCTCCTCTGGGCAGCTTTTTTTCTATCTTTTAAGCACTATTAGCACTACAAACATTTTTTCTTACTTAAAAGGCTTTACGTTTACAACATTACTTGATCAGGAGAATTTAATGTCTAAATGGATGTTGGTGTTGGGTGTGGGATCAGTCAGAAATGGGCCACTGCTCTTGTGATCTGATTAGACGTGGTTTTAATGAAGGCCGTCTCTTCCCTCCGTGCTGAAGGTATCTCAAACAGATAATGGGGCTGACTTTTATCAGAGAAGCCCATGTGAAGAAGTTCAACAAGCTGAAGAGCTTCAACCTGCCAGCAGAGTTAGCAAATTTAAGGTAAGAAAATAATGGCTATTGAGTCACCACTTGCCATTGAACATTTACAAACTCTGCAGTCTTGCGGTCCAGAAGAAGGCCATTAGACTCTGTCTGCTGTGGTTTCTCAAATGAGCATTGTTACTTGGTGCCAATCTCCTACCTTGTCCCCATTCTGTGCATGGTTTTTATCCAAATAATGGTCCAGTGCCCTTAATTGAACCTGCCCTGACCAAACTTTCAGGAAGTGCATTCTAGACCAAGCTACTTGTTGAGTGAAGAAAAGTTCTCATATGACCCTTGCTTTTTTTAAAATCACATTACATCTGTGCCATCTTATTGTTGTCCCTCTTGTAGGTGGGAACAGTTTCTCCCTATCTACTCTATCCAGCCCACCATGATTTTAACCTTTCATCAGATCTCATCTTAGCCACCTTCTCTAAGGAGAGCTCTCACCACCTTCAATCTATCATCATAATCCAAGCTTCTCATTCCTGGGACGAATCTTGTAAATATCTTTTACACACTCTCCAATGCATTCACATCCTTCCTATAATGTCACGCCCAGAACTGTAAGTAATACTTCAGCTGAGATTCAACAAGTGTCTCTTATAACAAGGATCAAAAACAGAGGTTGCTGGAAAAGCTCAGCGGGTGTGACAGCATCTGAAGAAAAAAGTAACATTTCAGTTCTGGTGACCTTTACTCAGAACTGGAGTGTCTTCTATGAGTTTGATATTACATTGTATAATGTACAAGTACAGCTTGAAAGTGCCCAATTAATTGACAGGAACTTTTTTGGATGTTGGAAAAGGAAGAAAGTACATTCTGTTTGTTCTGTTTCTTTCACTGTTCCTCATTTCTAATCCCTTTGGATCTGCATTCATTACCAACTTGGTGGTTTTTTTTTTTTCCTTTTTCAGGGCACTGTTAGAAGCCACTTGGTCACCTGTAGTTTTTTGTCACAACGATGTCCAGGAAGGTAAGGAAGAACTGAAGGAAACAAACCCATAGCTTTGGTGTTAACTAGCAGAGATGAGCATATTTGGCCACTGTCCAGTGGGTTGTGGAGGCATCCACAGTTTACCTCTCTTAATCTTAACCAAGGAGGTTACAAAATGCCACTGAAGTAGAGGAAGGTGGCCACAGTTGATCAAAAGGATGAGAGCTCAGACATAGCATTGAGATTTAGATGAGAATACAAGTCAGTCAAGGAAAAGTAACATGATTTAGCCAAATTTCTTGTGATCTGGCTATGAACTGAAATAACTTTTAAAATAATCAAAATGTGAGTTTGCAGGGACACGAGAATAAAGGCACAAGGTTTTCAATAAACAACAGTTAGCTTTGCACAGTTAAAACAGCGATTCAATATAAAGTAAAAATATAAATGCATGAAGATAGCAAATGTTTTCTGAGCCCCAACTATATTGAGCTAGTGAACCCAAGCTAACTATGATCCTACCCCTATTACTAGGCAGAAAAGGTAACTAATATTGGAATCCAGGTTGCGGTTTCCACACATTTGGATTTCTTAACAAGCTGTTAGGTCATGATATTGTGAGGATGTTCTGTCTCTTGCCCTGTGTCTTTCTGTACTGTGAATTGCATTGCATCTTTTAATGCTGTATGTTGTTTGTTTTTGGTCACTGTACGAAGGATTCAGATGCAGAGGGTGGAAGAAATTAGCAGCCATTTTTTGAAGTTGAGCTTTGCAGGAGTTCACACTGCAACAGATGCATGCATGAATTGTTCTATTATCTTTCAGTTCTATCTCGTGCCATTGTTGGACATTCCTGCAGCTACTGTGCAGGCAATTACATTGTATTTAAATAGTGTACTTAATGTTCAGTGTGCATTTGCTTTGAAGCCATCCATCCAGAGGCTGTAGGCTGATGGTTGATGACTTAAATGTCAGTTAGAAAGGTTAACGAGACATGACAGCATGACCAACGTCTTCTTGGGTCTCCCCACAGATGTGCAGAGGCAGTCTGTGGCTGGACCCTCATTACCTTCTGGAAGAGCTTATTGGCAGCAAGTGGCAAGACAGCAATCTGCTAGTATCATAAGCTTGTCATTCAGCTTTGGAGTAATTGAGATCAGTGACTCTGGCCAATGACCTGAAATATTTCAATTGTTGTATAGAAACTAGGGCAGCTGCAGTGTCTACCTGCTAAATCATCAGTTGGCATTCAACAGCATTCCCACTGATCTGAGCAGCTGCTGTTCTCCATTGGAGTGGGGTGCGATACCTCTCGAATGTAGAAGTTCATGTTCCAGTCCACTTGCTTACTGGCTCTGCTGCCACCCCCTGTCTTTAAAGATTTGCAGCTTTGGTTACCTAGCCCCTGTCTCAGCACACACCCCATCTCTGTCTGCCTTTGTCTCTGTTGAATTTTCTTTCTTTCCTCTGATGAGCTCTTGTTTTTCAGGTAACATTCTGCTTTTGGCAGACAGAGACCCCTCATCCACGGAGAAACTGATGCTGATTGATTTTGAGTACAGCAGTTATAATTACAGGTAATGAAGGCCCGTGGGTTATGCTGCTTTTGAAGTCAAAGGTATCTGATCCGTGTTAGGATCTGGCACTGACAAATTCAGAGTAGGTAACTTTTAATGCAGAGTTAATACAGCGTATGGTCTGCTTAAGCACATCCAGAGACTATATACATCTGAGGTTTGTAACTGTAAGCTGATGTACTGCAAGAATGTGACCACTTCTGATCACCAAATGTACCTTGACTTTGACAGGCTGTTATCTAGAGCCAGTCTCTGCTGCAAGAGTTGGGCACACTTCTGGTATTGTCATAAAGGGTTACATAGCCCATGCTGGTCCTGTGATCTCATCCACAACCACCTTTTAACAGTTGATGTCTATTTTTACAGTTGATGTTGGCTAAGATTGAATTATGGAAGGGTAGGACCAGGGTAAGAATGACAGGTCAGCTGGGGATAAAGGGAGGGTCTGGGCTGAGGATGTGTGAAGTCTATGTTGCAGTTGGCACCTCGGATGGGCAGTTGGTTTAACCAAATGCTTATGCTTCTGTTTGCAGGGGTTTTGATATTGGGAACCATTTTTGTGAGTGGATGTACGACTATACTTATGATCAGTGGCCTTTCTTCAAAGCCAGTATGGAGAAATACCCTAACCGACAGCAACAGGTAGAAAACTCTAGGAGATTTGTAATGTCTAGTTGAAATGAGGACAAACGCCCACCTGTGTGCCAGGAGTGCATGAACGCTGTCTCCTCTGGCCTGAATGTTAACACATCTGACAAATCTAAATATATTTGAGTATTGGAACTGTACCATAACCTGTGAAAGATCATTTGCTTTCTGATAAGATGTTGAAGACAGCTGGATCCCTCCATCTCAATCAGATAGAGAATTGTGCAAATTTATCATAGAAGGATGCCAGTTAACACACTATCTCGGTTAGGCAACAAGATTCTTCCAGATTTCTGTCCGTAGCCATACAGGTTACAGTACTTCGAGTGCGTGTCCAGGTGCTTTTTACCTGCAGTAAGCTTTTCTGCCTCTACCACCTTTTAAGATTAATAGTCATAGAGCCATACAACACGGAAACAGACCCTTTTGGACCAACAGTTCTATGCTGACCAGATATCCTAAATTAATCTAGTCCCATTTGTCAGCATTTGGTCCATAACCTTCTAAATTGCAGGGTAAGCAATCATTCGGTACAGCACCTGTTATCAGAGAACTAGAATGATGGTTAGGGCGTCTATTTCTTCCTTCCTTTTAAAGAGTCTGGGATGTATTTGATCCATGGCTTGGTGGTTTATCTACTTTCAAATATACAAAACCACTAATTTTTCCCCTCACTATTTGTATTGTGTGCTGCCATCAGGATCTTCTAACTTTGAAACAAAAACAGAAATTACTGGGAAACTCCAGTTTTGAGTCCAGTTACCCTCTTCAGCACCAGACCCGAAATGTTGACACTGCTTTCTCTCCATGGATGCTGCCAGACCTGCTGAGTTTCTCCAGTAATAAAGAACCCATAGTTTGTTCTTCTAAGTTTTGAATTGTTTCAGTATTTGTAATCAGGTGTGTGAGGGCAGCTACATGCACCGGTTATAAGAATGGACTCTCCAAGCTGCAAAGACTGGAAGGACTAAACCTTGGATATGTCTCCCACATTGTTTCAGTAGCTTTAGAAATTCTCAGCTTGCAATGACCTGCAGATTTCTGACCTGCCCTACCACCCTCAAAAAATTGTTGGCAGACTTCTTGTAAATGGAACTGCGGCTGACTCTGGACATGTCAGCAGCGCTATTGCTGGAATGTTGTCAGCATTGATAGCCTTTACAGTATTCCTGCAGCCCTGACCACCACCACAGGGAAGGAGGTATCTACTTAGATTAATCGATTTTACAATTTGGAACAAACAAAACTAACTTTGCTACACAAAATGAGGACAATAATATACTTGTGTATATTATGCTACTTTGCCCAGAGTGCATGAAATGCAGATCGTTGGCTGAGCACCACAAGGCACATTAATTTGCACATGTGGTCAAAGTAGATCCCATGCTTTTTCTTGTCAGCATTGAGTTTTACTGACGTTGTCATCAAATCTCATTAGTACACTGGAAGAGATTTCAGTTCAGACCTAGCTTTGGATCCCCCTCAGCTGCTCCATTGTGGATTGCCTGAACAAATGCACATGTTCTAGCAGTTCATTGTGCTTTCCTGGAGCTATGCCACTATGGAATCTTAACTGCAATCTTACCACCTTCTCTCAGGCATAATTTCAGCTGTTCCACTGCCAAGTAGCTTCACTGTTAACACTGCCTCGGGTTTTTTGTGCGCCAGCCTTTATCAGTTGGAGCAAGCATTTACTGCGTGTGGACTTCCTTACTTCCCAACTCAGCTGTACTAATCTACTAATGGGTCACGGGCACTTTCAAAATTCTCTCAGCTCTTGGGTTTTTTGCTGAGCCCTAACACCAAAATGTAGTTGCACTTACTGGCTCTCAGAAATTGAGCTGTTTGTAGCCTGCTCCCACATAACTGACAAGCCCGAAGCAACCATCTACTCTGCCACCTTGACTGGCTAAAACTGACTGTTCATTAATCCTTCTATTGAGTGCCCAATTGAAAACCTTGAAACAGCACTGTACTTGTTCCTAAGCAGGATTGAATGCTTCAATCATTGAAGGGACTGTGTTCCCAGAATGTTCCAATTCTCCAGCCACGTTCCTCTCCTCAGCTACCAGCCCAGAACACTCAAATGGCTGCTACAAAAATGGATTGAACATTTTTAACCTCTCCCTCCACCCTTTTTCTTCTCCCCAACACCTCTGCTCCAACTTACACACACATGTGCAGGCTTTCTCTCCTGTTGCTCATTTAAATCTTCTCCAGCAACACTTGCAACCCTTTCCATGATATTATTCGTTCTGGCGTTGTTCAAGTTGTACATATCCCATGTCCCCTGAGAACCTAAGACCCTCCACCCCACTGCTGCTTGATCTCCTCAACCATGCATTTGTCTATCCATCCTTTTTATTTCTATGCTTACTAATGTATGGCACTGGGTCTAATTTAGAGATAAGCAGGACCTCAAAGGTTGGTTTCTTTCCTAGCTCCTAAAATCTGCAAGCCTTCACCTTTTGGCCTCTCATTGGTACCAGCATGGATCATTATCTCTGAATACTAACTCCTTCACTCAGAATATTGTGACTTTGGCAACATGGAAGCAACTTGAAGCACACTTGCTGCAGAAATAGTGAATCTGTTTTTGCTACTGTTTTCTGATGTTCCTCATTTAGCAACACCATAGGGTTTCAACGTAGATCTTTTCGTGCTCCCCAGAGGGCCCATTACCCTTGCAGCGGTTGAACTGAATACCATTTGGAGATTGCAATTCAGTGGACTCCTACTGTAAATGGCTTGTCTGTGTGGGCAAATATTGTGATCCAGTCAGATCTGTGATTCCTCATTGTTACTCTTCACTCTGATCATCTAGAGCACAAAGAAAAATCTTGCTTTTATTGAGACCCTTTCATAACCTTAGGATGTCTCGTGCTTTACAGACAGCATAAACACAAAATGTTAAATCTGATAACAACTGGATCACTTTTTTACGTAATGCTCTTGTTTGAGGGATCAGTGGCTCAGATACGGAGAGAAATAATCTTACAAGAGATTCTGGAAAGTTTTCACTATGCACTGTTTCTCCACAGCTTCACTTTATCCGACACTACCTGTCTGAATATACTGGCAATAAGGGAGATTCTATTCATGAGGACCAATCAAAGATTGAAGAGGAGATGATCATTGAGATTAACAGGTATATTTCTCTAGTCTAACTAGAAAGATGAGTTGGGAGTAAAAGAAAATGAGCAATAAGCAAAGTTCACCTGCTAGAAACCTGAAGGTTGGACACAGGATGGTTTGGACACTGGAATTTAGCTTTGAGTAGGTACAAATGTAACTCTGGGAGGTTGAAATATGCTGTCTGTAAAAAGTCTGAGCCCGGACAGGTTGCACTTTACTGGTGGGCATCAATCCATAGCACAAAACTATAACTGGCTCCAAAATGGCATTTGTAGCCCAACGAATGGCTGTGGAGGTGGAAAGTTTGCACATAGGGGAAGTTGAGGCATGATCTGTGTTTGGATGAAGACACTGAGTATGAAGTAGTAAGTTTACTGTAATTAATGCTTATGATGCCTGAAATGTTGTCCAAACCATAAATGAGAGATGCAGGAGGCCAGTGAGCCTACCTTTTCTACTCCAGCAATTTACTAGAACAATCCGAAACTCCTTTTCACTGCCACACAGCACGGTTGTGATTCATACTTTTTAGCTACAAGTGCCTGCACTGAAATGTTCCATTTTGTGGCACCAACCTGATAACATTTCACAACCACAGCAATTTTTGTATTGTGCCATGAATGTTATAAAATGATCTAAGGCACTTTACAAGAATATTGTAAAACCAAATATGACAGTCACAAGACACCAGGTTAAATGATGAAAAGCTTAATGGATGAAAGAGAGGTACAGCAGCAAAGAGACGTTGTAAAGACCATTCCTTTAAAAACAAAGGATTGTTCAAAGTTTGCTGCACTTCTTAAAAGCAAGTAACCTGACACTCATTGTAAGTACTGTTTACACATCTGCTTGTTTAATCAGTAATAGAAGTCTGGTTTGCAGACAAGGTAGAGTCAAGGGGTGTGCATCAATGGAGCTTTGGTTGGCAGTAAATAGCTGATCTGTCGACTAGTAACCAGTTATTGATGAAGGCCTATGCCTGGCAACCACTGACTTTGAGGTAGCTGGACAGCATGGAGGAGTGAACATTTTGGCAGAAATCATTGGAGTTCTGTGGAGAAGGGGCTATTGCTCTGCAGGAAAAAGCATTCCAAGGTGGGAGGTAGCCAGTTCATTTGCCCTTTCACAGATAACAAATGAGACTCCAGTTGAAGACTTTTAGAAGTGGTAACCAGTCACCCTGTGCCTCCTGCAAACAGGTCAAAGTATCTGGAGAAGGAAGATCAAGAAGCAGCATTCTGATCAGTTAAAAGATCACCTTGGCAAACCGAGGACAGGGACCACTTGGTCCAGTTTGCCAGTGTGTTGAGACATTCTCTGTGATGGACTGTCTAGATAATTGCCTTCAGTCTTTCTCTCTGTCCATCACGTTTTTCTTTTTGTCTGTCTACTTCCGTGTTGTAGATGGGTTTTATAAGGTAGTTAGAGTTTTTTAATTGGTAGAGTTTTATGTGCGTGGTTCATAATTGTTTATCTGTAATTAGTATCTACTTATTTGTGATAGCCATTTTTGTTACATACAGAAACTCCTGGCCCATGTTTTGATAACCTGGGTCTGAAAGATGGTGTACTAAAGATTTTTAGAAAGCATAACTTGTGTACGCAAATCTGGGAATGATAGGGCTTTATTTCCAATAGAGTACTACAGTAAGGTGCAACAATGTGCAAACGCTACTTAGATACCTGTGGGCCAGGTACTGCCTGCAAGAAATTTCTATATTAATTTCACTGAACTGAAATAAGGAATTGTTTTTGTTTCCTGTTTTTTTTTCTTTTGTCACTCTTCCTCCTCTCGTCTCTTTTCATATTCATGTTACTACTTGTGTTTCTGAGCTCACCCTCTTCACTCTCATTCCACCATCTGAGTTTTTGCTTCCATCCTGGCTTTGTTCAAATAGAGACTAACTTAGATTTTGCTTCATTAAGGTATGCCCTGGCATCTCACTACCTATGGGCACTCTGGGCCATTTTACAGGCGAAGATTTCCACTATTGAGTTTGGTTATCTGGTGAGTTGCCTTTACTTTGGTATTTATCACTCCCCTGACTTTGCTGTGCTTGGTACCAGACTAGAAGATAGCAAGAACTGCAGATGCTAGTCAGTCGGAACGCAGCAGGTCAGGCAGCATCAGAGGAGCAGGAAAGTCAGCGTTTTTGGTCAGAACCCTTCATCCCAGTCCTAATGAAGGGTCCTGACCTGAAATGTTGATTTCCCTGTTCAAATGCTGCCTGACCTGCTGTGTTCCTCCAGCTCCACACTGACTTGGTACTAGATTTGTTATTTTTTTAAAAAAGTGTAGACTTTGCTATCAAAGCAAGCATTTATTTCCCATCTCTATTGTCCATGACAAGATGCTGGTAAGAATTCTTGACCTGCTGCCATCTGTGTGGTATGCATACATCCAAAATATTGCTGAGTAGGGAGTTCCAGATTTTGATCCAGTGCATATGAAACAACGGTGTATTTTTGTGTGGATTAGAACAAAATTAGCAAGTGATAGTGTTCCCATATACCTCTGACTTTTGTTCTTTTAGGTTGTAGAGGCTGTAGGTTGAAAAAGGGCTGTAGAAGAAGCCTTCGCTAATTGCTGCAGTGTTTTCTATATAGCATGCTTGTTAGCCACTGTATGCTGTTGGAAAATTGGGGTATCAATGAAGTCCTGTCCGATGTCCAATTTGTTTTTGGAACTGCACTTTTCTAAACAAATTGAGTTTCGTCATACCCTTATGCCCTGTGGACATGGAAAGGCTTTGAGTTGGGAGGGAAGTTAATGTGCAGGATTGCCAGCTTCTGATCAGGCTTTATAGCCACAGAATCTGTGGCTAGTCCATTTAAACTTCTAGTGATGGTGGGCAATTTAGTGCTGGTAATGACAGTGAGTGCCAACAGGTGGTGGTTGATCATTTCCTGCCACTTAAGTGGAATAAATGTTACTCTTCAATTCTAAGTTTGTTTTTTTTTGTTCCATGTAACATGCATTACCTGAGGTGCTGCAGACAGGACTGATGACTGCACAATCTTCAGTGAACATCTTGGCTTTTGGCCTGATGGTCATTGAAGGAATTGAAGATAATTGGTCCTGTGCTAAGGTGACTGGTCTGCAATAACCACAACCATCTTTTTTTTTTGTGCTAGGTGTGATGCCAGCCAGTGTTTGCTCAATCCCCACTGCTTTAAATTTTGCAAAGGTTCCATGATGCCTCATTGGCAAATGCGGTCTTGCTGTTAGTGTTGGCCCACCTCTGGACTTCAATTCCTGACTGTTTGCACCAAGGCTGGAATGAGATTTGGTGCTGAGATTGGGAGTGGTTCTGGAAGAAGCTAAGCTGAATATTAAGTGCTGTTTGATAGCACTAATGACAACACCATCCAACACTTTGCTGATTGAGCAGAATGATGAAATAATTGGCTGGAATGGATTTGCCCTGCTTTCAGTGGATAGGGCTTTGCTCAGTAATTTTCAACTTTGGTAGATGCCTCTAGTAGCTGTACTGGAACAACTTGTCTAGGGGTGTGCTCGTTCTCTCTTGACTGTTTGTTTGGTTTTGTACCGCTATCTTTTGAGTCCAGTTTGCCAATGTGTTGAGGCATTCTCAGTGATGGACCGTCTAGATAATTGTCTGAAAGGTTGATTCTGAGAATAGTTATGTCTTATTGTTGGTTCACTACCCTATGGGACAGCCGTTCCAAATTTGGCACAAATCCTCATGATGGTGAGGATGACTTTGCTGAGTCAGTTAGACTGAATGTGCTGTTGCCATGTCTGGTACCGAGCACAATGCTTCAAGTTTGTTTGATTGTTTTAGATGTTTGCTGACAAATGAATGTTTCGCTTGGCCCTAAGATGGCAGTGGGGTCTGGGAGATACGTTGAAACTGTCCTAATTTTCTGGCTGTGTTAGCATGCCACAAGATTAGTAGCTACCAAGAACACATTGTGCCCCCTGTAGTGTCCCCACAGTCAACTCCACCTCGGTATGTTCTACCCTTGCAGTTAATTCCTTGAGGAGTGTAGTCAGGTAATTGTAGGTCTGGAATTTTAAATGAATTGGGAATTATTTCTCCAGTTTCCTGCTCTCCTGGTAAGTGTGCACAGGTCTTTGACACCAAATAAATATTCTTCCTCCTTTACTGTGCATGCATGTGATAAATAATTTCTAGCAGGGTTTGCTGGATCTTAAGCAAAAGTCCTGGCAGATCTATCTATTCTGCCCAAATGTTTGGCTTCTCATGGATGACTGAAGCCAATTATGACAAATATTTCTAACCCAGCTGAGATACCTATCTCTGATCAGATTGAGGATTAAAGCTGTAATATTCTAGTGCTATCATGGAGAGCATCTCTTTCTTTCTCCCCTGAATGAAGGGCAGTTATTGTCATATGATATAGTTTAGTACAACAAAGGTAACATTTTTAGTGGACTAACTAAGGACAGCTCACCACTGCTATCATTCTGTTTGTACACTCTTGAAATGAAATCTTTGTGTGTTTCTAGGATTATGCCCTATACCGATTGGAAGCCTACTTTGAACAGAAAAGAATATTCGCTTAACTTGCTGCAGATGGGAATCACTCTCAAACCTTGTACTTGATTTTAAAATGTTTGTGTTTTTTCTTTTTTAAAAAATACTATGCGTTTACAATCATTCAGTATTGCTGCGTGACCACTTCACGTGTATCCATGTTTTGACTCTCAGCCACAGACTGATCTAATTCAAAGTCCAATCAAGTATGGAGATTAATGAATATTGTTTAGACTGCTGATAGTTCATATAAAGTCATTGTGCTAACAAGCTGTACAAGCTAGGATGATCTTTAGTGAAAGGCCTGGGGGCTCTGCTGATCTAAATCAGCATAGGTTGAATTGAACTTTTCTCTTGGTGCATGTGAAAAGTGGAAATCGGCCACAGCTTCTGCTTCTGATCACTACCTAGTGGCCTGATCTGTAGGAAATGCCAGTTAAGAGAAGTTTGGGTCTCTGCAGAGCTCCCTGCTGCCATGTACCCCACAGGCACTTGTTGTCTGCACTAACAAGTGAATAAGGATGGCTGCTAGTGACTGGGAGGGTAAAGGACAGGCAAACTTTTGAACTTAAAAGAAAAGCTGGTGTTAACGCTGTCGCAGAATGTGTTGGCATTGGTGAAAGCACTGGACAAAGTTCATTAGACCATAAGAACATAAGATGTGGGAGCAGAAGTTGGCCATTCAGCCCACTGAGTCTGCTCTGGCATTCAGTGCAGGGGTAGGTTTATATTTTGACTCAGTTTGGAGGACTAACTCTTAGTTCAGTGAATAAATGAAAAGAGTGACATGGGTATATTTCCATTTACTGACCTTTGGTCCCAGAATATGTGAATTAGTGGCAAGGCTAGACTCCTTCCTAATGTATTTTCTCCCCATCAATACCTTTCTCATCCTTACAGTAAATTCTTTTCTTCCTAGCCTCCCTTTCCTGAGCTGTCCTGTATGATTTGTTGGAACTTTATTCCCATTCTACATGTCTTGTTGATTTACTTTGGGGCGTTGTGCTTATTTTTGGGAGTATATTCTTATGTTCTAATACCAGTTTAACACTTGTTTTCAATTAAGAAATTGTTTGAGCAATGTTTACCAGCTAATTTTTATTTTGGTTTAGAACAAACTTTTAAAGGAATTATATTCTAGACATGTAGCAGGAGTCTACAGATCTTCCATTGAATAATTCAGTTGGGTCCTTTTGTCTACTTTATCCCTGATCCTTGGAAATTTTCTTTCAATTTCTTGTATTACTTATATATTAACCTTTTGAAGATTATTAAATCTGTCTCTGATGTAGTAAATGGCAAATCCTAACTACTTGTATTTTTTAAAGTTTCCTTAAGTGTCACATCTGAATCCTTCACGAGTCGCCATAAAACTGTTCTCTGGTTATTCACCCTTTTAACCATTGGGAGATGTTTGTTTTTGTTTCCTGTATCAAAACATTTTTCATCTTAACACCCCCAATTTATCTCAATTACAACTTCTCCAAGGAGAACTCTCAATTTCTCCAGTCTGTCCACATGACTGCCTCAAGAATGAGAAATTGTATTGTAGTAAAGCAAATCTTTCTCCAAAGACTCATGTCATGAAAATCTGGAAGTCTGTTATACATTGGAAGTAATTGTGATATCACCACCTTCCCAATTTGAGTGAAGAGTTGGGTATAAAGCATCAGTGGGGTATGAAGGCTGCTATAAATTAGACTTACAGAATCAAATGCATAACTCATGGTGTAATTACATTTGTTGGCTGAGACCAAGGCACTGATTTTTCACTCCTGGATAGGATCCATGGGGCATCAGATTCTTTTGACATTTTTGACATCAGAGTTTCTAGGAAGAAACAAACAGCTAGAGCTGAGTGAAGGGCATATCATTCCATTCACAAATAATCCCTGGATAAGAAAAATCAAATGTCTATCCCTCTGTATCAGGCTGCTATTTGTGAAATATTTACAATGAATCTATTTATTCAAGGCCATGTTTGTGATCCATTAATTTTACCTGTCTTGATCCTTGACTTTATCTTGTAAATAAAATGAAGCATTTCGCTCTTGTGATCCTGTGTTCAGTCAGTCTTAAGTCACCAAAGAAACGTTTGGACAGTTCATGTGAGAAAATGGTGAGTTAACCCTGTTCTCTATTTGTCTGTGTGGGGTGGACAACAAGGTGCCACCACTAGGGCTAAACAGTCACCTTCATTGTGGCCGTGTTTTACAATTGGAGAAATGTTTGAGATTTCTGGAGTTAGAATGTCTTTTGTCTAGATCAGACCATGTTACATTTGAATTGAACTCCTGTTTTGCATCAACTCTTTTTACGGTGTTGCTCTATTTACAGTGCTGCCCCAGTGTATGTTACTGTTCCTAAGATGCTGAATCCTACAATGTTGGAATCCAGTTGACTTTGGTTCACGCATCATAGTATTATTGAGAGAACCTGCAGTCACTGTCAAAAAGTCATAGAACAGAAACAGACTATTAGTCCAACTCATCTGTGCCAACCAAGTTTCCCAAACAAACTAGTCCCATTTACCAGAATTTGGTTCATATCCCTCAACCTTTCCTATTCATGTACCTGTCCAAATGTCTTTTAAATGTTTTAAATGTACCTGTAGCTACCACTTCCTCTGGCAGTTCATTCGATATATGTACCACCCTGTGTGGAAAAAGTTACCCCTCTAGTCCCTTTTTAAATCTTTCTCCACTCACCTTATCTATGCCCTTATCTATAACCTCCTAAGGTTATCCCTCAAACTCCTGTGTTCCAGTGAAAGAAATCCCAGCCTCTTCCCTAAACGCAAACTCTCCAGTGCTGGCAATATCCTGGTAAATCTTTTCTTAACCTTCTCCAATTTAATAAGATCCTTCAGCAGGGTAATCAGAACTGTACACAGTATTGCAGAAGAGACCTCTGTCCTGTACAACCTCATAACATCCCAATTCCTGTACTTGGTGGTCTCAGCAATGAAGGCAAGTGTGCTAAATGCCTTCACTACCCTGTCTGCCTCTTGCAAAACTTTCAAAGAACTATGTATCTGAACTCCTAGCTTTCTGACTGACAACATTACCCATAGCCCCAACATTAATTGTGCAAGTCTTGCCCTTGATCATCTGACCAAAATGCAACACCTCCCATTTACCCAAATTAAACTCCATCTGCCACTCCTAGGCCCACTGTCCCAACTGACCAAGATCGCATTGTATTCTGAGAGAACCTCCTTTGCTGTTGACCATACCAACAATTTTGGTGTCATCTGCAAATTTGCTAACCATACCTCCTAAATTCTCATCTAGAGGACAAGGGGAGCCCTACCACCTGCAAGTTCCCCTTCAAGCAACTCACTGTCCTAACAAATTTCCAAGTTGTTCTTCAGTGTTAGAGAGTGAGAGTCCAGGATTTTTCTAATGCCATTGCTAGGAATTCTGCAGTGAGTAACTCCTACCTTCCTCTCTGATTCTTGTCCATCATTGGCCCAAGTCAAGACTGAGCTGAATTATTATTCTTGCTTGGATGGGTGCAGGTCCAAGACAAAATAACCCTGTGATTAGCACCCCAGCTGCTATGTTCAAAATTTCCAATAGTCAGTATCAGTGGAAGCATGGTGTACCATCTACACAATGCACTGCAGCAACTTGCCAAGGCTCATCTGATGGCACCATACTTCCACTTTTCTCACCATTCGGATCACTTACTCTGAACTATCAACATCCTTCCCTGCACCGCCCCCCCCCCACCTACCCACCCAAAGTACGCCAACACCACCCCCACCCCAAACCATAGCATAAATGCTGCCCTCTCCACACTTCAGCTCACTCCATGGATGCTGCCTGACCTCCTGTGATCTCCTCCATTTATTCTTTTCATCAAAGAATCTAGACTGTCAAAGTTGATCCATCTTGTGACTAATGTTTCTCCAGATATGTTTGATGTTATCAGCAAATTTACATAAGGAAATTGATGCCCAACCTGATACTGACCCTCCCTGTAAGTCTAGTATTCACATTCCAGAAACTCCAATCAAAAGAGGATTCCATGGTACAAGACATTATCCAGAAAGTTGAATGTCCAAGTGGTGCAGCTGCATTAACTAGTGTTTCGAAGAAAGATAGCACTTTACGTGTAGGTTTGAATCTAAGGCAACTGAGCAATGCATTAAAACATCTCCCCAGAAGATTTCTACCCTGGAAGCGCTTAACCTGAAACTCTTGGGCACCAAGCGTCCTTCCTTCTAAACACAACGTGAAGAATGGATACTGATCTATACATCTTTCCTCCAGAGTCATAAGGACTGAGTAAATTCAGAATATTTTTCAGTAGATACTGTTTCTTCAGATTGCCACTTGTACAAAGGGTCCCAGATTTACAAATAACCAACTTAAGAACATAATCCCATACAGTGGTGTAATTTTAAAGACCCAAGATACAAACATTTCCTGTACTTACAAACCGCTGCTTTATTTTTCTTGCATTGTGCTCAGACTTGCATACAAATTGATTTGCGAATGGACTCCAGAACAGAACCTGTTCACAACCTAGAGAGTACCTGTATCATTTGTTAGCCAGGACACATTGCAACTATATCTGGATGATAACCTCAACTGTTTTCCAAGTTGTCTCTGCTGCAGCTGATGTCGCTGCTCTTGGAAGAACTAAACAAAAGACTGACTCAAACCTCCATCAGATCATGGCTGTGGCAAGGACTTGTGGTCTTGTTTTTAAGAAGGCCAGAAGTCTCACGTGCCAGTCTGACACCAAATCAAAGCACAAGCAGATTCTAAGCAAGGCCTCATGCCTAACATGCATTGTCTGACCTACAAAGTCACTTCTTCTTTACACTGATAAAATCTTTAGTTCTCTCAGGACAGTGACCTGAAAGAAATTCAGGGATTAACATATACATATTAAAGATTTAACAGCATCTTGAGTTTATTAATACATCCTCATCAGTTGTGTGACACTTTGATCTTTTACTGATAAATTCTGTGTTCTATGTGCTTCTTTCTCACCTTACCTGACAACGGGGCTATGCTCCGAAAGCTTTTGTTTTCAAATGAACCTCTTGGCCTATAACATGGTGTTGTAATTTCTGATCTTGTCCACCCCGGTCCAACACTGGCACCTCCACATCATTGTTACTTTGACATTCTTTACTATGAAAAACATAGTACAAGTCAAATTCTTCTGTTTTAATTTATTCGTCAAACAGTGGTAGACCTATGTCTTTACAAAAGAACACCATACATCTGCTGGTGATCTTTTTGACATATTTTCAATATATCAAATATGCTGTATCATCCATTAAGTGTGTATCTCTATATTCTGATCCTGCCAAACTCCTCATATTCAAAGTTGATACAGCCCAGAAATAGCTTGGAGTGTGTCAACTACAGGATGACAGCCCGATAGCATTTGATTTGAAAATCCTGATGACATTTAACATTGAAAGAGAGACCGTGATCTAGATTTTTGAAATGCAATAATTTCATACTTACCTATTCAGAAAGCACTTGCTAACTGTTTGTAGTCACTATGAACACAATGATCTATCAAAAATCCCGCACCCTCCTTGACTACAAAGTGTATTTGTGAAGATGCATGAGAATGATTTAGAGTCAGGATTTCAGAGTCATACAGAACAGAAAAGGCCCTTCGAGTCTGTTCTAACAAAAAACTACTCTGAATCTACACTAGCCCCATTTTCTAGTACTTGACCCATATCCCTGAACATTACGAATATTTTAAGTACTCATCCAAGTACTTTTTTACTCCCCTCCCAGGTGGTGCATTCTAGAAGCCTTGCACACTTTGACGCATATTTTCCTCAAATCTCCTGGCCTTCACCTTTAAAATTATGTCCCTTCATTATTGACTCTTCAACCAAGAACAACAGCTGCTTTCTATCCCTCCTGTCCATGCCCCTCATAATCTTATACACTTCGCTCCGGTCCCCTCCTAGGCTTCTGTGCTCTAAATAAAACAACCTGAGCTAATCCAGCCTTTCTTCATAGATAAAATGTTCCAACCCAGGCAACATCCTGTACACCCCCTCCACTGTGCAATCACGTGCTTGTTAAAGTGTGATGAGCATGGCATGGTACACAGTATTCTAGTGGTAGTGTAAGCAAATTTTTGTACAGCTCCAACATAATTTCCCTGCTCTTATAATCTATGTCAGGACTGAAAAAGATATCTGTCCCTTCTTAACTACCCAGTACTCTGCCTTGCCACCTTCAGGGTTCTACATACAAGCACCCAAACTCTCTGTGTTCTTACGTGCTTCCTAGTGTCTTGCCATTCATTGAGTACTCCCTTGCTTTGTTACTTCTTCCAAAGTGCATCACCTCACACTTATCAGGGTTAAATTCCATCTGCCACTGATCTGCTAATCTGACCAAATCATCTATACCTTTGTGTAATCTAAGACCATCTTCTTCACTATTAACCAACAGCCATCTCTTTCTATCATCTGCAAACTTACTTGTTCTCCTCGCCCAACATTTTCTTCTTTGTCATTTATATATGTCACCAACAATAAAGGACCCAGCACTGTTCCCTGTGGTACACCACTGGACACCAGTCTCCAGTCACACGCACAGTCTTCTATCAGCACTCTCTGTAATAGGAGACAAAGGAAATTTTGGATCCAACTACTTGTCATCAATGGCACTATCCTCACCTACATACCTATTCGCCTCCTTGAAAAATTCTATCAAATTTGTTAGGCATGACCTCCCTCTGACAAAGCCGTGCTGATGATTCCCGGTCAAATTTCTCCTCTCATGGAGATTAATTCTCTCCTTCAAAAATTTCTCCAGTAGTTCTCTCACATTAGTGAGAGCCACTGGTCTGTAATTCTCTGGTTTGTCTCTACCACCATTTTTGACAACTGGAGCCACATAAGCTGTCCTCTGACAGCTCCCCTTTGGTCAGGGAGGAATTAAAAATTTGGATCAGAGCTCCAGTAATTTTTCCCATCACCTCCCACAGCAGCATGGGATACAACTCATCCAGACCTGGGGATTTGTCCACTAAAACCACCAGTAGTTCCCCCTCT